AAAGACTTGCATGGAATTTTTAGATTCCAAAGATAGACAATCTAAAAAGACCAAAACTCAGACTTGCCTCGGGTCACAAAACAATTTAGGGGCAAAATCTGGTCTAGAAATTCAATCTCCTACTTCTTAAGATCTTCCCAGTATGCATTAACTATCCCTTCTACTCTAATCTATGTTGTGCTCCATACCAAAAACCAGATACTTTGTTTCACAGCCTTCTGAAAATAAAAAAGAAAGTTTAATAATCTCTTGAGATTTATTTCCCTTTCTCTGTGCACTATAAATCTTTCCAATAAAACAAGGTCAACAGCTACTTGATGTAGCTCTAAAAACTGTAAGAGGTTAATTGGAAGCTCTAGCACAAAGCTTCAGCTAAATATACCACCCCCTCCCCACACCACCACCTTCCCCACTGCAGAAAGTCTTTCAGCTAAAACACAGTACATTTTAACTCCTGTTAGTTGTGCATTCACTGCCTATGGAAATTACATGCAAAACATATATATGGAAATTCTACAGATTTCCCATTTCTTCATAAGCACTTTCAAAGGAGGAACTGCAAACACTGGGCGCCACTCAGAAGAGGCATCTCCAGCCCTTCTTGACATGGGAAGCCCTGCCCAGCAATCACTGCCTTTCTGCCTTGCTTTCATTTGCTTTTTCCTTTCTGTGAGGATCACTTAGAACAGCGGTTCTCAACCTGTGGGTCGCGAACCTGTGGGTCACGACCCCTTTGGGGGTCAAATGACCCTTTCACAGGGGTCGCCTAAGACCTTCGGAAAACACATATATAATTACATATTGTTTTTGTGATTAATGACTATGCTTTAATTATGTTCCATCTGTAACAATGAAAATACATCCTGCATATCAGACATTTACATTACAATTCATAACAGTAGCAAAATTACAGCTATGAAGTAGCAACGAAAGTAATTTTATGGTTGGGGGTCACCACAACATGAGGAACTGTATTAAAGGGTCATGGCATTAGGAAGGTTGAGAACCACTGACTTAGAACAATACTGCTACCCAGCTGTAAGCTATCCACCATATTCACATGTTGATTGGAAGCTGTTTGGTAACTAATTTAATACTTTAAATTATTACATTTATTTACTTAAAATAGACCACATCCTAATGTAATGCTGGATCCGATTTGCTAGAATTTTGTTGAGGATTTTAGCATCTACTAGTATGTTCATCAAGGACATTGGCCGGTAGTTCTCTTTCTTTGTGGTGTCTTTATCTGGTTTAGGAATTAGGGTAACGCTGGCTTCATAGAAAGAGATTGGAAGTGTGCCTTCCTCTTGAATTTTTTGGAATAGTCTGAGGAGGATAGGTTTGACAAAGGAGACAAGAGCATACAATGAAGTCAAGACAGTCTCTTCAATAAATGGTGCTAAGAAAATTGGTCAGATACATGCAAAAAAAATGAAACTAGATCACCAACTTATATCATACACAAAAACAAACTCAAAATGATTAAAGGATTTCAATATAAGACAGGAAACTTCAAAGTCTTAGATAAAAATCTTAGAAGACTCCATCGGCAGCAAAATATCAGACATATGTCATAGCAACATCTTTACCGATACAGCACCTAGGGCAATGGAAACTAAGGAGAAAATAAACAAATGGTACTACATCAAAATACTAGTAAAAAGCTTCTGCATGGCAAAAGAAACCATCAACAAAACAACAACAAAAGCCCACTGCATGGGAGAACATATTTGCCAATGCTATTTCAGATAAGGGTTTAATCTCCAAAATTTACAATGAACTCATACAACTTAACAAAAGATAAACAATCCAATCAAAAAAAGGACAAAGAACCTAAGTAGACACTTTTTGAAAGAGGACATACAGAAGACCAAAAGACATATGAAAACATGCTCAAAGTCACCTTTCACTGTTTTTTATCTGACAAGCTATATATAACAATTTATTTTATGACACTCTTTGTATTTAGAAGCTTTTTTTCTATCAGTATCTT